CAAACAATTAAAGATAATAAAATTTATAAAGATAAATAGTATAATAATTATATCTATTTTTTTTAGGATTTAGAGTGAATTCTACAATAATTATAAAAATTGTCCTTTGACTAGGCGATTTTGACAAAGTTATCATCAGTTGCCGATGATATTGTCAACTAGTGGCAGTAGATGACAACTTTGATTGTAATATTTTTGTTGTGTAAGGATCAAATTAAAAGGAAATAAAAATTATAGGAACTAAAATAAAAAAATATTAAGTTTAGTCTAAAAAATAATATGCTCTTGTATAAGGTGAAATTTTGAAAGGCCATAGCATTGTGTTCGAGTGTCCTAATAATCTCTCTTTCATGAATTATGATTTTTTTTTATTAATTTTAAGAATAGATTTAAAAAATATTTGAAATTAAATATGTAATTTTTGTACAAACATATCATGATATATAATAATTTGGTAAGTATAACTTTATTTCAAAATTTTCCTTTTTGACCTTATCCCTGTAAATTTTTTTTTTAATTTGATGCTTATGATGCAAAAAAATTACAAACAAACCAAAATCGATGGTGCCTCAAGTTTTCATCGACTACTAATAAGTTAAAAATAAAGTTAAATATCTAAAATCATTAATAAATAAAAAATAATTAAAATTAAAGGTAAAAATGAAACTTTTCAAAGATAAAACAATGAAAATTTTTAGAATAGATGTCTCTGGTTCAAGCGCTAGCCTCTGTAGAAGTGTTCGAACGTTCATTATCAAACAGTTTAAAATTTTTAGAATAGATGCTACTTTATAATCACATAGATGTAATAAAAGAACAACTTTAACAATTAATGTGGAATTCATCTTTAACAATTAATCACAGTGAACAAAATAAGATAGAATAAAGTACAGTGAGAGACGGTATAATTTACTCTATTTTTTTATATCAACGTTTAAGATGGAAGATGAAATGAATGGGTGGGATTTAGGGACAAGCAACATGGAAAAGAGGGTCCAATTCCATGTGCATGTGGTACGAACAAAGGATCATAGTTGGTAGAAGAGAATCATACACTAGATTATCAAAATTATTGGAAGTTCAAGGGTCATAGGTGTACACGTGGGGACATCTTAAATCATCACTAAATGATTTCAGGGCCCACCCGTCCTCTCTATAAGTCCCACTTTCATTAACTTAATCTCTATTTTTGCCGTCGACGTGTTTTTGAAATGACTGATTCTTTTAGATATGATGGATATGTTGATAGGAAATAGTATTAAAAAAAAGCATAACTGTCGGTCATTTCAATGACATAACTCCAACCAATGATTTTGGTATAATATACAAGTATAATTTCAATGGAGTAAATAATACTTATTTAACCTGAGCAAATATATGCACCAACCAATGCTTAAGAAATTTATTGTTATTTTTAAACATTTTGAGTTCGAGCATAAGAGTATGATTATTTATTATCAATTAATTAAGAATCTTTAAACATATAATATTTTATATTTTTAAAATAAAATAATTGAACAAATATATATATATTGGTATTTGAATATTTTCAAGATTAATTTGATATTTAACTTTTTTTATTTAATTAATTTTTGAATTTGATTATAAATTTCAATTAATTTTTTAAATTTTTTGGTTTAATTAAGTAGATGAATTTGATTATTAAATTTAAATAGATTTTTAAATTTAATTTTATGACTTTAACGGATCAAATAATTTTTTATCATAAATATCAATCTAAATTGAAAAAAATAAATAAATGTTAATAGAAATTTAAACTAACAAATCAAATTTAAATAGAGTTTATTGTATCATATGTCTCCAAACTATAATCATTATCTTAAATTAGTCTACAAACTTTTGAATATTCTAATTTTATCCTCATATCATGACTCATTTTAAATTAGTCCTTAAACTTTTGATCATTTTAATTCTATCCCTAAACTATGACCATCTTTCTAAATTGGTCCCTAAACTTTTGAATCTTCCATTTTCATCATCAAATTCATCCAAATATGTAATTAGTTTCAACCATAGTTTAACCTAATTTTGTTTTTTTTCAAATATATAATAATATAACTTGGCCTAATAATTTTATTAACAAGGGATTTGATTAGTATATACGTATAGTTTGGGATAAAATTTGAATGTTCAAAAAGGTTGGGGACTAATTTAGAATGAAGGTCATAGTTTGGGGATGAAATTGAAATTTTAAAAGTTTGAGGACTAATATAGAATGATAGTCATAGTTTAGAGATGGAATTGAAACATTTAAATATTTAGGGGCCAATTTAAAATGAGGGTCATACTTTAAGGATATATGATGTAATTAAATCATTTAAATATTTATTTAATAAAAAGACATTAAATATCAAATTATACACTAAACTTATATTTAATTTTTAGTTTATTATGTGTACAAATCAAGTGTCCTCCGTGGTAAAAGAATTTTTTTTTGTTCCTTGAGGACCCGAGTTCAAGCATCATAGATGCCAAGGGTGTGAGCGTTCAATGTCGAGAGATTGAGAGTTATATTTGAACAGATATTGTCTTGTACTTACCTCATATTAATAAAAAAAAATTAGTTCAACATGTGAATGATGATAAAAACGTTGAGGGAGATTTTAAGTGAAGAAATGCAAAAGGAATTATTAGTGTTTTGTTCAAAGTAAGACGAGGAACACAACAGTGACGGTCATGTAACATACGGACAGCTTTAACCATCGAAATAGTCTAAAAATAGTAACGAAAACTTAGAAATTCGACAACCCTTTGCAATGTTTTAAGAGAATCGACATAGTTTCACAGTGGGTGAGGGACTGAGTTTTAGTCGCGATGTGAGACGGTTCTGATGGTGTTAACATGACCACATACCAACGATGGCCAATCAGCGACGAAATATGTAAAGTTTGAGTGTTTTTTAATTATAATATTAAGTTTTTAAAATAAAATATTTTTTAAAATTTTATATGCATGACACTGTCATATAACAATTAAATTTAACAGTCATTACGGTCTAGGAACCTAAAAGTAACGTTGAAAACGTTAGATACCTATTTTAACGAAAAAAAATTAGACACTAAATCGTATTTAAATGTATATTCATGCACTAAAAATATATTAACCCATATAATTAAATTATAATATAGTCTTATCAAATATAAATTCATATGACGGGGTAAAGTTGGGGTAGGGGACCAAGTTGCATGGGATGAAAACATGGATATAGTGACTCACAGACCAGTTGGGATAGTTTGAGTTTAACGGTTCAAGGGATAGGAAGAATCCCAAGCCAGAGTGGCGGCGCGTGTAGAGCAAACCACAGAGGAAGGAGCGTTGAGATTGGTAGTGAGCGAGTTTTCAAGATTCAAATGATTATGAGGGGAAGAATTGTCGGGAGTTGAGGGACATAAGTGACACGCACGACCGTGTGGGTAAGAAGGGAATGAAAGGATGGGGGACCCACAATGCACGTGCTCGAAGGCAAGACATGTTGGTCCACGTGAGTTAAGTTGGATAGAGGCTTTCTCACGTGAACTGCTTTTTCCTTCTTTCTCTCTCCATCAGTATATTGTACCTATTCGACTTGAAAAATTTGACATGAATTAATTTTTTATTATAATTTCATAAATTCTATTAAACTTAAAAAAAAATTCAAGTTCAAATTAAATTATAATATACAACTTTAATAATTGGAACAATAACTTGAATAATTTAAATTTTTAATAATTAATTTTTAAATTTCACCTGCGTCTCTTGATTTTGTATTATATATTTATATTATATTATAAAAAATATGAATATATATATATAGTATGTGGTTATAAAAAATCATTTAAATTGGAATTAAATAATATTATAAATATTTACAATTAAATTTAAATAAAAATTCAAAAATCTGACTCAGTTCATAAAAATTTCAAGTCAACTTCGAGTATAAAATAAGATTCATCAACCTGAATAACTCAAATTGTTTTTACTTTACTTGATTTGATCAAACGCTCACCCCTACTTTCGAACGTTCAGTAGAGTTGAATTAAAATATTTTGAGTTATTCGAGTTGATAAGTTTTATTTTATAATTTATATTTGATTTTTAAAAAATTAAATAGAGTTTATAAAATTTGATTCAAGTTGAATCGAGTTGTTCAAATTTTTGTTTAAATTTAATTATAAATACTTATAATATTATATTATTATATTATTCCAATTTAAATCATTTTTATAACCATATACAATACATATATATTTATTTATATATTTTTCATATATGTCGATTTAAATTAAATTATGTGTCATCATGTATATATATTTATTTTGACTTAAATTTAAATTTTTGACATAATAATGTGTTGACATGTGCTCACCCTTGATTAAAGGAATAATTTTTGTATTAAACTAAAATTAAAATTAAACTGGTATAACAAATAAGTAATGATGAAGAATATATAATTTTATTAATTATCACACTAATATCTTCATCAAATGTTAACAATTAGTGACTTAATTTATACTATTAAATAATTTGATGAACAAAATTTGAAAATCTATAATTAAAATAAAAAAGAATAATAATTAAATGATCGAGCATATAATTTACCCTTAATTTTATCTAACACCATGAAATCACCATAATTGTTAAGGAAATAAAATCGATCAGGGGATGGTAAGATATGAGAAAGACAAAGAAGAATAACAAATATGGGTTGGTTCAAATAGTAAGTATTTTGATATTGTTTTTTCGAGTTTAAATTTTTGTATATGTAAAATTTTACTCACTAAAATTAATTTTAAGATAGAGTCGGTTTGAATTAGGTAAAACAAAATTTAAAAAAAATAGAGCAGAAGCCACGGCCATGATTGAGATAATTGCCCTCCCCCATCAGAACAACTCAATGTTGAACTTCCATTTTTTTTCATTAATTACCATTACTTTATTATTATCATTTATTATTATATAATCCTCCATCCACTACTCCCTCTAAACTCCCCAACCCCAAACGCTCTCTCTCTCTCTCATCTTTGTTCACACCACAAAAATTAAAAGCCGTGTTTGGCTCGAGAGAAAATATTAAGGATGACGGGGAAAGAAGATCTGGGTTTGAGTCTGAGTCTGAGTTTCCCTCACAGTCATCACCTAAATCTAACCCCTTCTTCTGCTAATACTTGTTCTTCTCCTTCTGGTGTTCCCCTTCAAAAAGCCTCATGGAACGATGTCGTCTCTCCTCCTCCATGTATGCTTTAGCGTGACAGTTTTCCCATGCAAAAGCCTCTATATCTGCTACTTTTTATCTGAAAAAAGTATGGTGTGCTTGCATGCAGATCCTAGCTCTGGATATTTCCCGGCCACCGAGGCTAGAACGTTTCTTAGAGGAATCGACGTGAACCGGTTGCCGTCAACAGTCGACGGTGCAGAAGAAGCCGGGGTTTCATCTCCAAACAGCACGATATCCAGTGTGAGCGAAAAAAGGAGCGAAAGAGAAGCGAATGGAGGCATCATTGATGACGAAGATGGCGACACTTCAAGAAAAAAGCTTCGCCTTTCTAAAGACCAGTCAGCTATTCTCGAAGAAAGCTTTAAGGAACACAACACTCTCAACCCAGTGAGTTAGCTGAACTGAACAAACCGTTGAGTTTGAGGGTATATTAAATTTTCTTGGTAACCAAACAGAAAAAAAAAATACCTTCTTTTTGCAGAAGCAAAAGTTGGCTTTGGCCAACCAACTGGGACTGCAGCCCCGACAAGTAGAAGTGTGGTTCCAAAACAGAAGGGCAAGGTAAGAGATTTTCCGACGGCTTCTTTTTTTTTAGGATAAACTATGTTTAGTACCTAAACTATCAGTTTTAATTCTTTTTAATACATAAACTTTCAAAAAATTCAAAATCATACCTAATTTAGTTTTGTTTGATTTTAATATCAATAGTTTTTAACGAGTTTAGTATTTAAATTATCATTTTTTATCCGTTGTAGTATGTAGACTTTCAATTTTTTTAAATCATATTTAACGTTTAATTTTTGTTTCATTTTAATATCTACCGTTAAAAGCACGTTTTGTACTTAAATTATCAGTTATGATCTATTTTAGTATCTAAACTTTTAATTTTTTTAAATCAAAATGTTAAGTTTTTTCGAGATACTAAAATGAAACAATAACTAAATGTTAGGTATGATTTTAAAAAAATTAAAAGTTTAGGTACTAAAATGAATCAAAATTAATAGTTTAGATACTGAATATTTAGTTTGCCTTTTTTTATTGACGATAATGTCCTTTTGGTTTGAAATTATTTGCTGACCGTGGGACTGGGGAATTTGTTTCCGACCAGGACTAAACTGAAGCAAACCGAGGTTGACTGTGAGTTCTTGAAGAGGTGGTGTGAGAAGTTGACGGAGGAAAACAAGCGGTTGCAGAAAGAAGTTGTGGAGCTGAGAGCACTGAAACGTTCCCCGCTTTTGTACATGCAAATGGCCCCACCAACTACCCTTACCATGTGCCCATCATGCGTGAGGTTGTCGGTCCCACCCACCGTTGATCAACGATCCCATCATCTGGCCCAAACCTATCATAGGCCCATCCCAATAAGACCTCTGGCCCATGGGCTGTGCGAAGGTCTTCGTCCTCGATCGTAATTGTCGAGTTTCGGTATATGTAAAAGTATTTGATTTAACATATGATGGTTAGAATTCTTGGTGTGGACCTAAGGAATTTTGTTTCGGATTTGAGCAATGTAATATGTACGTGTGCTTGAGCGTAGATGTAGATGTAGATCTTTTAAAAACTGATGGTTAGGATGGGATTTTTTATGGGTCTCCATGTTTTGTATTATTGGATCATATGATCCTTGGTTTGAGTTGGTGATGTTAATTGCATTTTCTTCCATGAATTCGAATGACTTTGGGTCTAAATTGCAATGTCTTATTAATAAGGGTAAAGTACACAAATAGTCTCTGACTATTGGTATTGTATTACACTGTTGACTCTCATAATTATTAAAAGTTATAAAATAGTCATTCGATTATAATGTGTACTTTATCGAGTATCCTGACTATTAAAAAATATAAAATGACAAATTGATTATTCATATGATTCAAATTCGTCTTTTTCTATTAAAAATGAAGATTTTTTGAGTTAGATTCTAACCTGTTGATTGAGATATAATAAAATATGATACCAGAACTGTTTCAACTATATAGTTATTTGAGATTTTGAGATAAGATTTTATCATATCCAGTCAGTAAGTTAACGTCCAACTCAGATTGCTGTCAAATTTTGAACGAAAAAAAGATGAATTTAAAACATATGAATAGTTGGATGGTCATTTTGTAACTTTTAATAATCGAGAGATTCAATAGAGTAATACTTTATAATTGGAGGATTATTTTATAACTTTCAATAGTCATGAAACTTAACAAATCAATGTCAAACGTCATATAGTCGAGAGATCATTTGTGTACTTTACCCTATTATTAAAATTGACAAAAGGTTTTAAAGAAAAGTTTGGGTTTCAAATTCCAAGGAATCTCTCTCGTTTGGGCATGTTAACCTTAACAATTAAGTGTGTTTGGGGTTGTGTGGGGGACAACTACACCTGCTTTTCAGCATGGGTTTGTATATTAAGTGTAAACATGGTGCCCGAGATTCAATAGAGTAATACTTTATAATTGGAGGATTATTTTATAACTTTCAATAGTCATGAAACTTAACAAATCAATGTCAAACGTCATATAGTCGAGAGATCATTTGTGTACTTTACCCTATTATTAAATTGACAAAAGGTTTTAAAGAAAAGTTTGGGTTTCAAATTCCAAGGAATCTCTCTCTCGTTTGGGCATGTTAACCTTAACAATTAAGTGTGTTTGGGGTTGTGTGGGGGACAACTACACCTGCTTTTCAGCATGGGTTTGTATATTAAGTGTAAACATGGTGCCCTAATTTTAGGTGTCTTTCAAACATAATGTTTGACAAATAACATTTCTTTAATGACGTCTAAAGCTACTTTTGTCTAATAAAGTGGGAAAGATGAACCCTAAGTAAAGATTATCCCACTTGTTTGTATATTTAGTATTTCTTCAGTTGCCAATACATGTTCAAGGTGAGAAAAAAAGTAAGAGGTTATGTTTAACCCTAATTGGATGTGTATTTGCTACTAATGCCAACCCTAATTGCTTGGCTTTTCTTTCTAACTTTTTGAACAGTTGATCAACTAAAATAATTATGGTTTGATTTACATATGGAATCATGATTCAATTTAAATAAATCATGTCCAAACTCAAATTTATTAACTTTAATAAATATTTTATTATTCATATATTATATAAAATCTAAATTATAAATGGGGTCTAAAATTTTGATTTTTTTTTCTTAAAAGTAATGGGGGTGCAAAAAAAATTCTTCATTTTTCTTTAACATATTATACTAAATTTCACTTTTTCTCTAAATAATGGGGATGCATTTGACCCCTAGGGGGCTTAGTGCATCCGCCCGAGTATGATAGACATATGATAAACATATCCGCAATTGTTAAGAATTTGAGAGCGAAAAAAAAAACCAAAACAATATTAACATAAAACAAGACATGCATAGGAGACGAGATTTAACATTGTTCGGTCTTGTCTACCTTCACTGACAAGATGAACAATAATCCACTATAAACGTAGAGAACACGGAGAGTAGAAATACTTGATATCACATGTATCTCAAAACCGATATAGATACCAAAACCCGATTTATCTAAAAAATTCTCAACATCTCTTACAAAACTATCTCTGCAACATAAATCCCAACATTTACAGATATCCTAAAAGGGATTAATCTCTCCAAAAATAATTCTCTCTCATTAAGTTAAGACATGATCTCTATAGCCAAATACATTGTCACTAAAAATTCTTATGGAATGTTTCCCTAACTAGATAGAAAATCTCGTTGCAGTTCAGATTCTATTCTACCTCTATTCTTGTATAAACTTGCCCTACATGCATGCTCTCTATTTGATTTTCTTTCAAATAAATAAGCCCGGGAATTGAGATTCGAACATCTTCCTGGAGTTATATTTTATAGGCGACTATAAAAACCATGTGAATTAAACCTTAGGTTTTGCACATGTTAAAGAGATTTGAGTGCCCTTCGGAATGGGAGAGCCTCAAGTTGAAGGAACTTTTAGTTGTGAATATATTGCTACTTTTTCTGTAGGAAGTGGCGTGAAATGAATACATTTAATGGCTTTGAGAACTTGTAGATAAAAGCAAAATATGTGGATATGGAAGTTGGAAACAACCACAAACCATTGTGTATTAATTAGGATGAACACGGTACTCGAACTCGATAAGTTTCGATCCAACTCAATTTTATTGGGTCAATTTTTTAAAAAAAAAAAAATCAGATTCGGGTCAGGTCGGCTCGGTCAGATTTTTTTACTGGATAAACTCGGGTTTGAGTTTAGGGTGAAAATTATCCAACCTGACCTGACCTGGCCCAAAAAATAATATAATTATACATTATATATTTAGGAATAATTACAATAACACCCCTCTTTATATTATTTATTTTTAATTAAGTTCCTATTTTATTGAATAAAATTAATAATTTTATATTATTTTGGATCAGGTCGGATCGGAGTTGAGTTTATCTCAAAAATTGGATCGAGTTTCGAGTCTAGTGAAATTATCCTAAACTCGAGTCAAGTCGGATTTCAAGTACAAGGTATACAATTTTTGGATCGGATCGAATTAGCCGAAAACTAAACCCATACTCATTCTTAGTTTTTATATTGCCAGATAAGTTTTCAATTTGAACCCTCAATACCCCACGAGGTGTAATAGGGTCCCATTAAGAAGGAAACCTCAATAACTAAAGTTCCTGATTCTAGTTCACATGTAATGATGTATTTGACAATAAACATTTAAGTATCTTGCAGTCGGTGCTCGAACCTAAGACATCTAAGGACAATAACTATCCTTTAACCACTAAATAACTTGATTTATGTTGATTTAAAACAACTTTAACTAAAAAATAATTTAAAGTCAAATGATAATATGAACATTTTTTTTTGTTAATCTACGAGTAAGTACAAGTAGTATCTGTTTAAAGATAACTCTTAACCTCTCGATATTGAATGCTCACACTCTTGACATCTACGATGCTCGAACCCGGGTTCTCAAGGAATAACAACAATTCATTTATCACAAACCACTTGGTTCATACTGGTGTGTAAACACTTGATTGTTCATTATTGTTCTATGCACACTGGTGAGCCTATTGATGATGTACATCAGTGAAGAAAAGAGGCAGATATTCACATTCAAAGGCGCATTTACAGTAGACAGGATATGTGTAATTACATGTTATATAAGACATTAGGGTAAATCATGTTCAGTTGCCTATACAGTTAATATCATAAGAGTCGACAACATTGTAGTAGAGAGTAGATATTTTGCCATCAAATCTTGAAGCCAATTGATGTACAGATAGCCCACAGTAACGCTTTCCCAGGCGAGCAATGCATATATCAATCACCTTCTTGAACATGCAATCTTCTTTTATCAATGGTTGCTCCACAAACTCTACTAGAGGCATCCACTGCATGGTATCCATTTCACAAATTATTCACTCTTGTTCGATTAGTATTCGGATACGAGTAAATGGAGTACAACAGATTCGTACCTTGGCTGCCTGAATTTCGTTGTCGTCGACCCTAATCCGAGTCGATAGAGGCTTCAACATGCAGATGAAGAACAGATCTGATTTCTCAAAGGCCACATTGTGCACATGCCTGAATGCTACTAGTTCCAGAAACTCAGTATCAATCTGCAAAGTGGAATAGGCATGGCAATCTCGGATGTTACATGATGTCAATACATATACATATATATGTATAAACACATTGCTTACCCCGGTTTCTTCCTTGACTTCCCTTACGGCTCCTGTATAAATCTCCTCTGACTGCCATACCAAACGAAAGTTTATGTCACTGAAAAAACAGGGTAAAGGACGCTGCTTTATTGACTACCTATTATTAAAAGTTACAAAATTGTCAATTGATTATAGGGCACTACTTTGTTGAGTTCTTCGACTATTGAGAGTTATAAAATGGTCATCGACTATTCATATGTTCTAAACTCGTCATTTTTCATTAAAAAATCGGCGACAGTCTAAGTTGACGTTAATTTGTTGGCTGAGATATGATAAAATTTGATCCCGCTTAAGTTGTATTATTTGGATCGACTTTTCGTTTACATTATGCTTTCCAACAAAAACTTAAAAGCAACGGCAGTGCCGGTAGACATCACTAAAATATTATTTTATCATATCCTAGTCAGCAGGTCAACTTTCAGTTCATACAACCGTCAAATTTTAAACAAAAAAGGACGAGTTTAGAACATATGTATAGCCGAGTGATCATTTTGTAACTTTTAATAATCGAAAGACCATTTTATAACTTTTAATAGCCGAATGATTCAATAAAGCAACACTCTATGATCAAGGGACCATTTGTATACTTTACCCGGAAAAATATTACTCTTTCTATGCCTAGATTGCTTTTGTTTGAATCTAAAAGTCTGAGGTACCTCAGCTATGAAACCTGTAGGGATTTTCCAGAGACCAACAAATGCTGGAGCAGAGTATTTCTCTCGTACAACCAGAACCTGCAATTCATCATTTCAAATGCTTGCATTGCCATTAACATTAGATCAAATATTATTTTGTTTTTGAAGAGATTTGTTACCTCATTGTTGTCATTGATGACGAATCCTCCAACCCCTACTTGATGCGATGCGTTACCAGGAAGCATGCATGGTCCTTGGGGTAGCCAATAAGTTAACATTACATACCCTTTCTCTGCGTGGTGATACTCGAATCCTTCCTGCATCAGCGAAAGAATTTTCCATGAAATTTATCAGTTCTGGTTTCTGTCTCTGTATGTATGCAAGTTGTAATGTCAGGAAGATACCTTGACTGCAACTGGTACAAGCTCTGATTTTTCAGCTGGTAACTTGAGCCAAATTCCCTTCTTTTCCTGCAGATTGATGGCTGAAGATCATTTTCAAGTACAAGTTGTAAATAGACACATAGATAGGGACAGGGATCCTTATCGAGTGGGTCGATCATAAGTTTAGCAGTATTTGACTTGACATTCGATAAGTTTGATAAAATTTTATTCGATAAGTTGTAAACAGCTGATTTTCAACTTAACTTGTTGCTCATTAAGCTTGTCAGAATTAAGAATATATACAAAATATTAAAATACTATATAAAACTTAATATAAACACAAGTTTACAAAGAAATGACCAAAATAGTATGAAACAATTCCAAAGTTTGAATTCAAAAGTAATAATCTATAAATACATTAAACTCACATATTACAACCAAAGAAACAGTCAACAAAAACACCAAACTAACATGTTCCAACGAAAGTAACAGTCTACAAAAACACCAAACTAACATATTACAGCCCATTAGTGGATCTACCTTTACTTATCTATTTCATTGAATGTGTCATCCGTGGAATTTTATTTGTGCCGTTCTCATACAAAAATTTTATGTTACTAATGCATGTGTGCCCACCCTCAAAAATATATTTTTGAATCCAAGTTGTTTGTGAACTTATCGAGTCGAGTTGGACATTGTTCGAGTCTACTCATTAAGATTTCGAATCGAGTCAACTAAAGTAGAGTTTTAACCGAATGAAACTCGAGCCGTTCAACTCAGTTAACACCCTAGACAGGGATTATGAATTTACCTTTGCCTTCCAATGAGAAACTGAGAAACGAAGCATGGAAGCAAAGGCATGCGGGTCAGCAGGTAACCTCTCCGAATCAACAATAACTCCACCATATTCATCATCAAAGGCGTCCAATACTCTCAAATCCCTCGACGACAAACTTGAATTCCTTCCACTAATCCCACACCCCAAAACTGCAGCACCAAGTTTCTGTTGCTCAAACGAGCTACCCACAGCTTTCTTTGGAGCACTGGCAAAAGAAGCCTTTGCAGATACGCCTGCAAAAAGGAAACCCTCAGGGAACAAACTATTTCTCATTCAACAACACTGACCAAATGACATCAGTGATTAAAGGATTTATTGTTATCCCATAAGATTGATTCGAACACCGCGTAAACAGAGATATAAACGCTCAGCAAACCATTAGAATTTACCTTTGAAACAAGTGAATATTTGGTGTGGGACATGAACACTCGAAAACTGGCTTGAACATGTGGTTTCCATGCGTGCTATTTCGGATATTGGCATGGACCTCGAACAAAAATGGCTGCACTCCATCTCTGACAGGTAGAATCACAGTATCCAAAACTCCAAACTACTTTGAAATTGAAGTTTAAACCACTGATGAAAAATCCACTGATCTCACGATAACAGCTGCTTAATATACAATATAAATATCCTCAGATAAAGAAAGGGTCTAATTCTAGGTTTGGTCCTTCTATTATGCTGAATTTTTGTATTTAGTTTCCATATCTTAATTGGTGCTTCTACTTAGGTGATATTCACCATTGATTATAGGCTTATATAACAAATTGATCCATGTCAAATTAGGTGATATTCAAGTAAGTCTTGGAGTGAAATATTGTTTTATTTGAACTCTAATTTGAAAATTTGCGATAAATAAGCTCCTAAATTTTGATTATATAATTTTAAATAATAGTTTATTTGAGATAATTTTTCCAATTTAGGTACTTATTTAATAATGATTTTTTTTATCACCTAATTTGACTCATACTAATATGTTATATAAACTTTAATTATATTCTTATTAACATATTGACGTGTATTTTTTAAATATATGTTAGACGATTTTAAAAAAAAATCACAGCAAAACAAATTTGTTTAATAAAAATTTTATAGGGTCAGCAATTTAATAAAATAATTATTGATGTTAATAATTTACATTAATAAAAAATATTATAAAAATTCAAATTCAAATATAAAAATTTAATTTTAAATTGTAACATAGTAAAGGACAATACTATAATTTGAATGTAAACAAAAAACAAAAAAACAAAGCAAACAGGTAGCTATGTCAGCTTTGTTCTTGATTCCTCAAAAACAAGAAAGAGTTTCATTGCCAGCCTAGGAACGGATTGACCAAAGAGACTTTGATGAGAAACCAATTTTAAGGTGTATAATGAATCCTTGGGTTAGAGCATGACGTCTCTAGGGATGTTTAAGCGTTTATTGTCAAATGATTGAGAGTCTTTCGAATATAAATTACCTTGTAATCATTCCAGACTAACAAAAATTATCATTATTATTTAACTAACTCTTAATTTTTTTTAAAAAAAATCAAATTATATTTTAAAGATAAATAGTAAATAAAATTTAATTTTTTTACAAATTTTTAAATAAAAATTTCAACAATTCTAATATAGCAATCCATATGTATTTCGTATTGATGTTGAGTTCTATCAACAAATAATTTGAAATTTTATAGAAAAAATATTCTAAAATTAATATGAAATATACATTAACTGTGATGAGGTATATGTGAACTATCATGAGACTTGTTATATCATTATAATTAAAATTTTAATTAATTTTGTTAAAATTAATTTGATTTTTTTGTAAGATTGAGAGTAAAGTTTGTTTTTTTTAAAAGAAATATAAATATAAATTTTATTTAATAAAAATCAGGATTAAATTAATAAAAGATATACAATGGAAGGATGAATTCATTATTATGAAATTTAAGAATAAAATCCAGTTTGAAGATGCATGACTGATGATGTGAGGCTACATATGTGGCGTGGAATGCGTGTTGATTGAGTGATGAAAGAAACAACTTTAAAAAGATCTCCTATACTTCCCTCATTAGCACATAAAATCAGGGAGAGTAAAATTCCACTTGCGTTTAAAAATTTATTTTATAATTTGACTTAACTCAAATTGATTTTGAGTTGTAATTTCATAAACTTGATTTGATTAAAAAAATTCAAGCTTATGTTCAGTTATAAAATACAACTTGAATAACCCGAAATTTTTAGTAATTAGTGAATAAATTTTCAAATTTGAGTCGGATCCCTCGACTCTGTTATGTATATCACTTATGAAAAAACATAAAGATATATATATATATATATATATGAAAACCATTTCAATTCGAATCAAATAATATTATAATATTATAAACATTTACAATTAAATTTAAATAGAAACTTGAAAACTCGACTAAAAAAGTTTCAAGTAACGTTCGAGTTATAAAATAGTACTTGTCAACTCGAATAACTCAAATATTTTTCACTCGACTCGATTGAACGCTCTCCCCCTACTTAAAATGAAGAATACGAGAATTCGTCGAGCGTCTCAATAACTAAAGGGACTATTATTTTTTAAAAAGAATTTAGATTTGAACAATTTTTTATGTAAAATATATTACTAATAATTAAAAAAAATTAAACATATACTATATTATAATTTTTACTACTATTAAAAAATGAAGAAAATCCTTGTGTATGCAAGTTTGAGAGTTCGAGTCTCTATGTATGTAAAAATCACCGTTGGAAGACTCACCCACCAAAATTAGCTGTGCAAACCAGCTCGATCCGAATTAGTTAAGACAAAATCTTAAGAACCGGAAGGAAAAAAATAATACTAGGAAGTAAACTAAACTAAAATATCTTTGAATTATTGACATAAGATCTACAAAGAGAACAGTAGAATAATTGAGAAGGCGTTTTTGGTGCTTTCCATGAATTAGAAAGTAATTCTTTTGGAATATGATTGTAAGGAATATAATTATTGAAAAACTTGCTTTATAATATTTTGTACATATTGTAAATTAATGATTCATTTTGTTTAAAGAAATATATATTAAGACATTTGATTCATTAAATATGATCATAAAAATTATTCTTATTAAATAAAAAACAATATTTTATTTACATATCCAATAAAAAAACTAATTAAATTTTCATTTTCATTTTACTTTTTTCGAAATTCATTTATTTCTCAAATGCAGTATAAATATGTATAAATTTAGTTTTACTTCAAGTAGATACCATAAAGCTTTTTTTTTCTTCAAAAAATGTCAAGTGAAGATATTAAACTCCTAATACTATAAATAATCATTTATTTATGTTAGAATGTTTTTTTAGAAAACATAATATTGTCTTAAACAGTAATAATCTGATGCATATCATTCTAATATAGCACTATTAATTTAAAATAAATGTCAATAATCTCCTGAGCAAGTAATTAAAAACATTTTAGATATTTTTTCAGTATTCATTGCGGGTGCAATACTCATTAGGAGTAAAAATTATACTTCCTTATCCCCTAAGCGTAAATTTTTCAGAAAGAACAACTTTAAATAAATCGCATAATAAAATCATAAGATAACATATCGATATTATTCAATTTTAATATAGATTGATGCTTTAATTTTTTAAAAGATAACACAAACCAAACGATCTCAGTGGTTAAGTGATTATTGTTATCCCTTGAGGTCTCGAGTAGTGAACATCGTGTAAGGAGGGGTATGAACATTCATTGTACAATAGTTGAGTCTTTAAACAAATACTACATTGTATTCATCCCAGATTTATCAAAAAAATAATAATGGTGATGTAGACGTATCACCATAAGATAATGTCACATCATCTTTGAAAAAATAAAACTGTCACATCATTAATTCTGTTAATTTTTAACGTTGTGTGACAAAAATAAAAATCAAAACATTACATTAGTGATGATTTTGAAAAGAAAAAAACAATTGGATGAACAAAACGAAACCAAAATATAATGAGTAAAATAATGTGATGACGTGACATAAGTTATACTTTAAACTTAGATTATGTGAGATGAACTCGTATAAGAGACTAAGGTGGCGTTTGGTTCGCTGTAATGTTTATGAGGGAATTGGAATCTGTGAAGGAATTGGAATCTGTAGGAATTAGAATCCAATTCAATATTCTGTTTGGTTCGCAGACATGTCAGATGAATTTGATTTTAGTAATGTAAAATGACAGAATTACCCTTCTTCTTCTTTTTGCTTTATTTTAGTTTATTTTATAACTTACATGTAGTAATATATTATAAAAAAATAAAAAAAATATTAAATTTTCATTTTATTGATTGATTATTCATTTCAATAAATTATAAAAATCATGCTAAAAACATTATAAGTTAAAATCATCGTAATCAAAATATGTTAATAAGTTACCAAAAGATAGAGCAATATTTCGATACATTTCAATCAGAGTATGTTAATTAGTTACAAAAAAAATATACCAAAAACTATTTTTATTCAATATATGAATTAGAAACTCGACCCGACACGACTCAAAATAAAAAAAATATTTTTATTCAATAAAAACATTGACTTAATTGGAAAAAATTATATATAAAGGGGTATTATTGTAATTATTCCTAAATATATAAGGTAAAATTATATTTTTTTCAGGTTGGTCCGGTTTTTTTCACCCTAAACCCAAACCCGACCTGACTCGAATATCACACTTAAAAAAACTCGACCCGACTCGACCCGAATATCACACTTAAAAAACTCGACCCGACCCGAACCAAATAAAGTTTCATCCGACCCGAATATATGAATTAGAAATCAGACCCGACCCGAAATAATAAAAAATTATTTTTATTTAATAAAAACTGTGACTTAATCCGACCCGACCCGAATTATATATATTTTCGGGACGGTCCGATTTTTTTCACCCTAAACCCGAACCCGACCCGAATATCACACTTAAAAAAACCCGACCCGAATATCACACTTAAAAAACCCGATCCGACCCGAACAAAATAAAGTTTCATCCGACCCGACCCGAATATATGAATTAGAAATCTGACCCGACCCGAAATAATAAAAAAATATTTTTATTTAATAAAAACAGTGACTTAATCCGACCTGGCCCAAATTATATATATTTTCGGGTCGGTCCGGTTTTTTTCACCCTAAACCCGAACCCAACCCGACCCGACCCGAATATCACACTTAAAAAAACCCGACCCGACTCGACCGAATATCACACTTAAAAATCCGACCCGACCCTAACAAAATAAAGTTTCATCCGACCCGACCCGAATATATGAATTAGAAATCCGACCCGACCCGAAATAATAAAAAATTATTTTTATTTAATAAAAACAGTGACTTAATCCGACCCAACTTGAATTATATATATTTTCGGGTCGGTCTGGTTTTTTTCACCCTAAACCCGAACCCGACCGACCCGAATATCACACTTAAAAAAACCCGATCCGACCCGACCAAAATAAAGTTTCACCCGACCCGAATATATGGATTAGAAACCCGACCCGAATATATGGATTAGAAACCCGACCCGACTCGAAATAATAAAAAAATATTTTTATTCAATATATTAATAAGTT